CAAATTAATCTTTTCCCCTGTCCCGACAATTTGTTCTCAAGTCTTTACCATTTTTGTTGTTTCGCTTTATTTTTTGAGACAGGGTCTCACTATATAGCTCTGGCTATCCTAGAACTCACCATGATGACCAAGTTGGTCTAGAGCATTGGGATTTACAGGTATGTATCACCACACCCAGTTCCTTAGCCTGTTTTGAGTGGCAAGGTGTTAAACCTAACCAGTGACAACACAAAAAGTCAGATTCTGCTTCTTAAAAATATAAATATGATATGTATTCTGAGGTTCATATGTATCAATTTATTTTTAGAACTGCTTTCTTTTGTAATTAAAATATTTTTCCTCAAGATACTTGGTGGTTATTCCTTATCTAATGGGTTTTAAATCATTCGTATTTTCATTGATAAACTACAAATGGATGTTTAAGAGAGACAATTTGATATCTTGATGTATTTGTACAATGTGGAATTGTTTAAATCCAACAAATATCCAACAAACAACTTATCTATTGTCTGGTGACCTATAGAATTTTTATGGTAAGATTTTTGAAGTTTACTTATTTTGAAATGTGCTATCCTTTATCAGGACTGTGGCCATTTTGCTGTGTAGTAGATCTTAAAATGCTCCCCCTGTCCATCTGAAATCCTATGGTCAACTGTACATCTCCCTGCATCCTGTCCAAACACCTAGAAGTCAACGTTTTACTCTCAATTTCATTACTTCACCTGTTACACTACACATATAACCATGATCATATAATACATTTCTTTTCCAGTATTGTAAACAAAGGTGGACCTTTTAAATATATAAATTATTTTTAGAATTTGTTCTTCATAATGGATTATTAGAGATTGTGTGTGTGTGTGTGTGTGTGTGTGTGTGTGGTCATGGGCTCAGGTGTGGGTGCACCCTGCGTATGAATAAATATGTGTTGGTGGAGTTCAGAAGGTGGCTTCAAACATGCCTCAAGAATGACCCACCTTGTTTTTGGGACAGGGCCTCTTACTTGAACCGGATGTACATTTTAATCTAGGCTGGCTGGCCAGCAAGCTGCAGGGATATGGCTGATTCTGCCTTGCCATGCTGGATTGTAAGGGCACACCATGTTCTTTGATTCTTATGTAGGTGCTGAGGATAGAGCTCAGGTCCTTTTGATTTGGTGGAAATTACTTTATTATCTGCACCAACTCCCCAGCTTCTCCATATTGAACAAAGAGTAAGAATCTTTAGCACAGTATAATATTTACACAAATTTGTTCTAAAAATATGTATGGATTTATAATCCTTGAGCAGTGAAATGCCTGCTATCAATGAAAACTATTTACCTATTTGATAAAGAACAAATCATAGTTAACTTAAGAATGCGTTTAGTGATTTGGTTCAGTGTTAAAGTGCTTAGATAGCATATGAATTTGACTACATTTTTATAGCTGAGAATTTTGTGTTTTACTTGTTGACAATAATATATTTGAGATTTTTAATTTACATGAGTTTGCATACTTTTTACAAATCATTGAGTTTTCTAATTATTACAGGTGACTATGAGAGATGGGCAAAGGACTAAAAGTTACAAGTATGGAAGAAGTGATCCAAAGACAGATCATGGAGATTCCCATGCTAAGATATTTTCATGAATGAAAGAGAGAAAACTATTCATGGATAATCAGACTGGCCACCCTTGAGCTGTAACTACATGTTTGTCACCTTAAGAATTATTATAGTCACTCTTCTTGGTTCTTTTGGTAAGAATCATTTTATTGAACCAATGGAAATGTTAATACTGCCTATTAAAGCAGGATTATTGGTAGCAATGTCACTCAAAATTGCCATGTGAAAATCTTAGAAATGATAGAGTGAAAGTCATTGTTTCTTTAATGTTATTGTAGAACCTGATGCAGTAAAAGCACAAGCTACTGTGCATAGAACTGTGTAGCTAAAGTCTTAGAACATAGCCTCACACTCTTTGTTTTATGGAGGAGGCTATTGCCAAGACCTAGGCAAGTTATGTGGCTTGTACCATGTCACATAGTCAAGCTCACACCTGTGATCCAGTTAGACCTCTCATGAGTTCCTAACTTAAAGATATCAATGGGGTCTAAGATATACTTATAAAATCTTTAAAATGGAAAAGGCCCAGTTTTATAAACTTTTTAATTTAAGAAGAATATAAACAATGAGTCATCACAAAATCAACATGACACACAGTGTTCTGAGATAAAATATTACCAAGATTCCGGAAACCCCTCCTCAGTTCCTCATGAGGAATTGCTACCTCCTCTTTGTGACTAACCACTATCTTGACATTTGGTATAATAGTTACACAGCTTTTGAAACATATAGCTCAGTTTGTGCTGGTCTGTTTCTGACCTTATTCCTGACCTTATTCTGATCTATAACATTCCTTTTAATGTATGGAGTGTGTATGTACCACAGTTTGCCAGTTCAATTGTTGATGGATGTCTCATTTGTTTCTAGTTGAGTCCCTGCTTAATACAATGTAGTTTTGAGCATGTCTGTTGGGTGAAAATACACGTTTCTCCAATAGCTTGATAATGTGTAAGTGTAATTTCTGGGCTATGGAATTTTAGTGAACTATGTCCAAATTTAGTAGATATTGCCAAATAGTTTTCCAAAGTGTTTATACTCTAAGCTTCTTCCATTATGTAATGGGGGAATTTCCACCATACCACAACCTCATAACCATCTTAGGAGCAGGAGGTAGAATTCCTTTATTTATTTATTTTTAATTTTTTTTCTTTTCTTTTTTCTTTTTTCTTTTTTTGGTTTTTTGAGACAGAGTTTCTCTGTATTGCAGAGTTTCTCTGTAGTGCTTTGGAGCCTGTCCTGGAACTCATTCTATAGACCAGGCTGGCCTAGAACTCATAGAAATCCACCTGCCTCTACCTCCCAGGTGCTGGGATTAAAGATATGCTACTAACACCCAGCAGGATCCCATTTTAAAGTTTGTGTTTCTTATGATTAATAAAATTGGTTAGTTTTTGTTTGTTGGATGATGAAATGTTCTCTTGTGAGATACCTACTCAGCTATATTAGCAAGCTCTCAATTTTTTATACTTTAATACTGATATTTATGAATAACCTGTATTTTGGCTATATTCTTTTGCCTGTTACTTTTGTTGTATTTTTTTTCACTCTTTGTAGTGTGTGTGTGTGTGTGTGTGTGTGTGTGTGTGTGCATATGTGCACTCGCATGTGTGAACAGATGCGCTTCACTTATTAATAAGATATGGCTTTTTAGTGTTTCCTCTAAATGGCTAAAAACTATTTCTGTGTCCAGAGTATTGAAGGTACTGTCAGTGTTATCTGCATACCATTTATATTTAGTTTGGAATGAAGCTTGGAATGCATTTCATTCAAGGCTTTGAAGCAGACATTGTGCCACTGGTTTTATATTCACACTTCTAGATTTATATTCTTTTTTTTTCTTCTTCATGTTCTCTGCCCAATAGAAGGGTCTGTTGCATATGTGTAAGTTGAGTTACTATGGTGTTAGAATTTTAACAGTTTTCAGGAACATGAGTACACCATGATGGTCTTGCTACCAGAGTTGTGATCGTTGTTGGTGTCAACATTTGGAGTGTCTTTTGAGAAATGCTACTTCCAGTGTTGGGTATGTGGCCCACATCTGTAATCCTGTCACTAAGGTAATGAAGGAAGAGGATCAGAGTTCAAAGCCAGCATATACTACATGGTGAGACCCTGCCTCAAAAAAACAAAACAAAACAAAACAAAAAAACACAGATGAATGAGGAAACACAATCCCTCCCAAAACATAAAAACAATGCCAGAAGAGCTACTACAATCATATTTTTCTATTGTAAGTTTTGTTCTATCATTATCATAAGATACCAAACTTGATATCATTTTAATGTCTATTTTGTTGACTAGTCATTTTTCGTAAATGAAATTTAAAACATCTTTGTATGTTTCTATTTCCTTTAAGATCTTGCATGAAAAAAATATGTGATTAAATCACTTAAGGAAAAAGAAATCTTTAAATATTTGGATCTTCTGGTATTTCTTTGTTGGTTAATCTTAAAATTTCCCCATACCTCTAAGTCATATAGTCATTCACTGGACAAAGTTTGTATTAGAGACCTTAGACAATGATGATTCAAAATATCTACATTTCTACCCTAATCAATAACAGATCACATGCCAACTAACACCTTGGGGCAGAAACAAATCTGAAAGAGTAATGTAATTTTCTTTATTCTTAGTAGTTATATTCAGTCTAATGTCACTGCTTCCAAATATATGCTACAGCAAAGCAAATCTATTGCTCCCTCCCATTCTGGGATATGGTGATTTTGTTTGTTTTTTGTTTCTTTTTGATGTGTGGCAGATCTCTTTTTATTCATTCTTGAGGGAAAAACTCCACACATTTTTTTTTGTTGTCATTTTTATGAACTGGGAAAAAAGTTCTTAATAGGAAAAGTCAAGTTGACCTAAGCCTTCATTAATTCCTTAGTGACAACTATAAATTTCATAGACTCTATCCCTCTTTTCTGCTTCACAATAAGCAACCCAAGGTCATTAATCATTATTTTTAACCTATAACATATATATATATATATATATATATATATACATACATATATATATATATATATATATATCTGAGCTACATGTGGGTCAGTGAAGGTTTTAGAATATCATTTGCTGGATAAGATAAAGTATTATATACTAGAATTTCTCTTCTGATCCTGTCTTGAACTCTTCTGAAACTCTGCAGATAGAAATAGAACTACTTTGAATGCTGATCTCAATATGAAATATAGAATCCACAGAATATACAAAAGTTTTGATGAAATAACATTCAATAATCAGGTTGCTATGAATCTTACATTAAAATTCAATTACATAGTAAAAATAGAGTAGTTATAACTAGAAAAAATATTTTCAGAGGCAGCAGACACCTTTGTTGGAAATGAAGAGTTCTACATAGAAAATCCATGAAGTATGCAAGCTAGACACCAGGATACTCAGTACATTGAATTTAATCAGAGAGTACACACAGAATATTACATAAAACAGCAGTTTTCTAGAATAATTGTCATCTGGAAACACATGAAAATAATTTAGAAAATGGACTAGTCATATTCTCTGGCAATAGACTTCTTGGAAATATAGACATAGAATCAGACAGATTTCTTTGTCATCTGGCTCCGTTCCCTTGTCACCAAGCCATCTTGAGTCAATAGTGTGGTTTCTATTCAAGCAGTAGACATGTCACTGTTCAGGAAACTAAATCTCTATGGAGACTGCTTTGTATTAAAGGCATAATTAACTAACTATTGATATTTGGTGCTTCAGATTCAGAAGCACATCCCTCTACTAGATGGAGACAGCATAGAAGTACTTTGTGGGATAGTCCTATGATTGTCTAAAATAAAAACGCTTGGATTGTCATGAGTTATTCTTCTACTTAGTGACAGATATATATTTACACATCTGACACTAGAATATTTTAGATGAATCCTGGTAGAATTTTTAGGGAAATCCAAATATTCAGCTGCATTTGTGAAAGCAAAATCATGTTAGATTCATTTTTAATGGATTGTACTGACTGGCCTAAGCATGGACTTTCTTCTTTTCAATTATATGATTACAAAAACTGTACATTACAAACAGTATAGAAACAAGCAGAAAAGAATGTGTCTCGCATCCTGGATAATTCTCTATATGCAGTAGAATTTACAGATATAAAAGAAAATACAGCCTACTCTTTTATAGCGCAGCACAGTTATGTTTTAGATACAATGTATCACTAGCAAGTGGTTGTGGCCACCAACTCTAGTTGTCCCCAGCAGAGAGAATAAGGGCAAGATCTGTTCGGTACAGCTTCCCTCCATCCGACAAGGCCATTATGTTCTTCTTGTATGTAGTAATATTATTAATATCCAGTTCCTGTATAGGACATAGATAGGATTGTAATCCAATTAAATATAGAAGTTAGTTCACTGGCCAGTAATAAAATGTGAGAAACTGTTTGTTCCATCAACCCATTAAGAAAAGATAAGGATTAAGTTCCCTTCTAAATGTGAATAATTGCTAGGTTGTTTCTAACCCAAATCTGTTTGTCACAGTTTACTGATTTATGCTGAACTCAGTGTGAGTTCAGGATTAAAGTCTGCTCCTGCTCCTTTGTAAATTCTTTGAGTGTAGTCTTCTGGGTAGCTCCCTAAAGTCTGTTTGGGAAGTGAGTTGTATGGCAACCAAATTACCTGTTTGTTCTTCTCACACAGATCCTTCAGTAAAGCATCCAGTTCATTTTCATCTATGTATCCGTTGCCATCCTGAGGGAGGAGGAATAAAACAGTACACATTGGAAGAAACTGCAGTCCAGTAAAGCTCTGTTGGCAAGTGTCCTAACCAAGTGTGTCTTGCCCCTAACACGGTGTGTTTTGCTCTATCATAGTTGCAAAATAGGTGAGCACTTTCACTAATGAATAGATTGAAATTTTCAAAGCACCTTTACATTAAGTATTTTGCTTTATGCTAGAGGTATTTTCAATTGAAATAAGAAGATAAAACTAAATACATTTTTGAGACAAAGCAAAACACTGTAGCTTTCAGAAGCTGTGGCCGGCTTACTGACACACCATCAGGCAGCTGTTATATAGAGTCTTGGTCCAGGAATAAAGAAAATAGAAGCCCAAAGCAGGAACTATCAAACTCATGAACAGCTTTTCCCTTACCCACAATTTCCCCCACTTTAATGTGGGAAACTTGTGTGGAGTGCTCCCCTTACTTAATTTCCATTCAACTCTACCAGGGAATATCATTATTGTCTCCTATTTTCAAACAAGTTCGTGGCTTGGAGGATTTGGTCCTTTTTCACAGCTCAGATGTCGTAGGCTGGCATCTGATTAAAGTTGTGTGATGTGAGATATGATACAAATTTTCTGTGGAATGAATGAGTTGGTTGTATAATTTCAGTTGCCCATGGTTTTTAATAACCATGAACCCTGACTTTGAGGCTTTTATTATTTCTTAATTTTTATTTTCTTATTATGAGCACTTTCCAGGTTCTCCTCACGAGTGAAATTATAGATCACAAGAGAACTGAGAAGGAAGATAGAGTAATATGATTTTTTTTTTGTTTTTTCAAGACAGGGTTTCTCTGTATTGCTTTGGAGACTGTCCTGATGATATGATTTTTAAATATAGAAAATTATCAAGATAAAAAGATGTTGGCATTAATATGTCAATTAGGTAAAGGCATAAAATATAAAAACCAGTTCCACTTCTAGACATTACCAATAAACTATATGAAAAGGAAATAAAATCCTTTTGCAATATTCTAAAATTTGAATAAACTGCTTAAGAGTAAACTTAGCAACAGAAGTAAAACACATGTACACTGATGGTTGTAAAGCTCTGATGAGAGAAATCAAAGATGTAAGCCAATGCAGAAGTACCAGTGCTTACATGTCAGAAGACTTAATACTGTTATAGCGTTCATACCATTTAATTGTAAAGATCAATGTGCTCCCTTCCAAAACCCCAGTGGTATTTTAAGAAGAAATATGAAATACACAATTAAAATTCACACAAAACCACAAATGGTCCAAAGCTGAAATCGTTTACAGAAAAAAAAAAAAAAAAAAAAAAAAAAAAAAAAGATGAAGATGAAGGCATTGGGCTGGTAAGATGGCTCAGGGGCTCAGACAGGCTATGGCATGATTTCCTTCCCCAAACAAACAAATAAAACAAGCAAACATGAAGAAGGCAGAAGTTTCCAATTTCAAAATATAGTACTCAAGTACTCAGTTGCAATGAGCAAAGCATCATGGTAATTACTTAGAGACTTGTATATAGACTTATGGAATGGTACAGGGGGTTCAGGAACTGGTCCACATGCAGAGAATCAGCTGACCTTTCAATGGGGAGCTGTGTATAAGGACAAGGACATTTTCTTCAACAAAAATATGGGAAAACTGTGTATCCACATGCAGTAGGGGAATAAACTGGACTCCTGTCTTTCATGTGAACAAAATTAACTCAAGGCAAATATTTAAATCATGAAGTTACAAAACTCCTAGAGCCAGGAGTGGTGGTACACATCTTTAATCTTAGCTCTTGTGAGGCATAAGCGATAGATCTCTACACAAGGCCATTGTCTTTTATATATCCAGGTCAGCCATCATGGGACCCTGTGTCAAAACCAAAACCCAAACCAGACAATGTTAACAGAAACTTCCCCTAAATATAAAATAGGGAGACCTTTATGACATTGGTGTTAGCACTGAGCTTGTGGGCTATGAGCCCAGAGCACAGACAACAGGAAGACAGTAGAGCTCATCATGAAAGCTGAAAGAGGCATTCAGAATGAAAGCCAACCTGCCAACTTGGAGAAGATAGCTGTAAACCATATATCAGGTAAAGGTGCTACCTTGTCTTACCTAAAGGGAATGTGATATTAAAATATGTAAGGAATATCTATAATTAACTAGCATAAAACAAATTTGATTAAAAAATGAGCTAAAATGTGAATAGATACTCCTTCATGGAAGACATATTTGTCTAACCAGTTTATGAAAAGGTGACCAGTGTTACTGACCATCATAGAAATGCAAATTAAAACAAATCATCTCACAGCTGCAAGAATCATTCTTACTAGACAAATAGAGGAAGTAGGTGTTGGTGAGGATATGAAGAAATTGGAAATATTTGTATACTGTTGATGGAAAGCCAAAATGATATAGCAAGATGGTATGGTGCAGCAAAAAATTAAAAATAGAACTAACATATGATATAAAGCAAAACACCATGATTCTGCCTTTTCCCCCCAAAAGACCAGGATCTTGAAGAGATAGCACATTCCATGTTTATTGCAGTGGTTTCACAATAGCTAAGATGTAAAAACAACCTAATGTCCATGGGTGAATAACTAAAGTATATGTATAAGGAGATTGTAAATATACATACAGCACAATATTATCCAGCCACTCTTCAACATACTATTATATAGGCAAACCTTGAGAACATGCAAGGTGAAATAAGCTTGTCAGAGGAGGGCAGTTACATGAACCCACTGATGAAACTCATGGGAGCAGTAGAAGAGCTGATATCAGGGAAGGGGTTGTGGAAGCACACAATCATCCATGGGTGTAAGGTGAGGCAAATCATTTCTACAGAATGGTTACACAGCCTTGCTTCTATAGTTAATAAATATATCTTATACTTAAGATCTTAAGAGGACAGATTTCATGGTAAGATTTTTTTAAGGAAAAAAGGAAAGAAAATACTATTACCTGATCATATAACTCAAAAGCCTTATTGAACTCTTTCCCACACATTTTGATTCCCTAGGAGGCAGAGAGAGAGGCTCAGTTAAAATGAGATTATTTCAGCTTGTTTTTCTTGACAAATCTCACCCTTTTGACTTCTTAAGAAAAACATTACTTTTTTTGTATAGAAAAGCCAACTACCTGGAATTTAAGAAGGAAATTTTCCTGCACTGGTAGTAACCTTTTGAGAGAAAAATATCGTATTAATAGTTTGGACTTTTAGATGAGGGCCCGTTTATTCTGATAACACATATGCAGTTCAGAAACTTACCTGGCCATTTCTGTCAGTTCCAGCTTTCCATCATTATTTGAATCAAATAGTTTCAGCTGAAAGACATTGCCAATGTTTGGGCCATTGAGTTATGAATTATTGAATGAAGGGAACAAATAATTAAAAAATCAAACATCTTGAATGACTGCAGTTCAAGCTCTCACACTGAATTATGTCCTCAGTCTGCTTTATTTTTAAAGCAAAAAATTCAGCAAAGCAGTAAGTAGGTAATAAGTCTAAGTTATTTTGATAATTTCAAATTGTTTAATTTTCCACTGGGAAATTTAACAATACTTAACAATATTGTACTTACATATCACATACTGAGGTACACGCACACATAAATAGCATCTAGGAAGCAGTCACAATTTTAGAAAGCAATAATGAAGTTAATGTTAATACTAAATATGCCAAATGTAGCATACACACACACACACACACACAAACGTGTGTGTATGAGAAAAGGGTTAAGGTAAAGACTATACCTAGAGATTTAAAGAGGTCTTTCCAAGGGAAAAAGAAAGACTATTCTATGGTTTGAGATGGTCTAAGAAATCTTTGTTGGAAGTATATCCGTTTTCATGGGTCTGTATTGAGACAGTATTTTATAATCTATTGACCATAAATTCTAATATTGTTGTACTGTCTACCAAGATACTGGACAACTAGATCACAGAGTTTCATGCCCATAGGGAAATAAGTTTCTTCACCTATATACTTAAATTTTAATTAGTTTTTCATTAATTTGCTTCCTGGATTGGAATTGGTTTATGACATTTAATCAGATCTACTGGGCCAGTCCAACAGGGGGAAGCTCCCTTCTGAGTTGTTTTTGAAAGGCAGCTTCAAATTTCTACCTGGAAAGGCGACTTTGCTTTAAATAGAATCCCATAAGATTGAGACAAATCAGAAAATTAATAAATGTAGGTTATTGTCTACTTCTCAAAGACAGGGACAGAGAGAGCTTAGGTCTTGCCTTCATGACACAGCAAGAGCATCCTACTTGTTTGCTGCAGCCACTGCAGATGGAACTGTATTGGGGAGTAAAAGACTGAAAGTAGACCTCAGCAGCACTGAATAGAACAGAAATGCTAGAAGATTGTTCCTCAGGATACCTCAAAATCTAATACAGCGCAGAAGTAATGTTTTATGATTTATTCACTTAACCCATGGGGTAAGAACTCATAATCACTTTACAGTATATATAGAAAATATAAACACATATATGTACACACACACACACACACACACAGTTTGTTTTCCTTAACTCATTCCTAACAATGAGTTAAGATTTGCAAACTACCTACTTGAGACAAAATACCTTTATAAATGTTTATTTTATCTCCAACCTCATTAATTGATTTGCATTATGTACTTTTGTATAAAGAGGTTTTTGGCTATATTACTCATATTTTATAACAAATCTTGTTTATACAATTATCAAAACATCAGGCTTAAGGTGTGTTCAGATCTCATCCATAGCACTGATACATTCATTATTCCAAAAGTCAAAGGAAAAGAAACTCATTTTAAGCAATTTAATGAACAAAATAACTAGCAGTTTTCATTAAACTCTAGAAAAGTCTATGATTTTCTAAACAGTGGTAAAAACAAGTTCAGAATTTCTATGAACACAGGGCAATGTCACTTATCTTTTCAAGTTCAGTCTTACCATGAGGTCTGTGTACTCAGCTAGTTTTGTATCATCCACGGTCTTGTTTGCTTTCTCTAGCAGGTCTTTTAGAAAGTTCTGTCGAGAAAAAGAGTTCTCAGGAAATTTCATGTCATTGATAATGTGCAGTCTGCAACAGAATATACCTGGATGAATTTAAATAAACCCTCTTTGGTAGAACCAGGTGAGGAAAGGACTTTGGAAGTCAGGTGGGCCTTGTGGCATCCCAGTAATGGAACTACCTTTGCTAGGCACAATACCTGCCTCTTATGAGACCCAATTTGTTATAGTCAGAGCTGTGTTGGCTTTTATGATTGCAGTTAAAGGGTGATGTGAATTGTGTGAGAAAATCTGAATTAAAACATTAAAAAAAAAAAAAAAAAACAGCCCAATGGTTGCTTCTCTTCAGCTGTAGTCATGTGATCTTCCTGATAGAAGACCACTCTAACTTGTGTGAAAATGTTCAGAAAGCTAGTTGGAAATATATCTTCAATTTAACATGTATTTTCTGCTGCACCCCAGGCCATGTTTTACTATTTGCAGTTATGCTGGTCTCCAAATGTCCTGATGGTTAGCTTTCGGGCATCACAGGGTCTACACGATCTTTGTTCAAATGTTTCTACTGACTGTACAAACTACACAGTTGGTAACACTGAATCCTTGAGAGACATAAGACTCATATTAAAACAGAGATTAATGTAGGAAGGGTGAAAATAATGATTATCAACTCAACATTTGGAACTTGGGAGTGAGTTTAATTTTTGTTTTACATCAATAAATGCTTTACAAAGTCTTGCCATAGAAATGTCAGTGTAATGGTGAGGGCTGTAATAGCCTTTCATTTTCTCCACTGATGTTCATTTGTAACTCTTTCATTTACTCAGAAAACAAATTAATGCAGATATGGGAACTGAGAATATTCCATGCCCAGAAAGTCTTGGAGGGCTATTTTTGACAGTGCTCTGTCTTCTTTAAAGAGAACTAGCTCTGCTAGCATGACTGGGCTTCACATTTTTCAAGGAAGGGCCCTTTCTTGGTTTGATACATTTATTTCCACTGTGAACACTCTGCTTCAGATCCAAAGTGAAGCATGGAAAATTCAAAGTTATCTGGTGGGGATGAGTTTTATTTTTGAGCCTTCTGAGTTTTTTTTTTTTTTTTTTGTCAGAGATTAATTGGGTTAAAAAGCCTCATCAGACACTGAAATGGTGGTCACAAAAATAGCCTTGGAGAAACCTTGGGACACTAGGATTCAAAGTCATGTCTGAGAGCAAGTGATGTTTTACTCTATTATGGATCTTAAAATTAGCTTTCTTTCCTTAAAATTAGCTTTCTTGAAAGATCCATTAAAAAAAGAATGCCAACTTATCTTGAAAATTCTCTAGGGGGGAGGACTGCTATTTAGAATTTCCTTTCTGAGAATAGAATTTAGAACAAAGAGGGAGACTTTGAGAATATTTTGAGGTCAGTATTGAAGTGAGCTAAGGTTTCCATTATGTACTGTGATGTTGTTTTACAAATCATTCTTTTAGTCTAAAAGAATAAAACCACAATGGCTACCCTGTCACCATGTAGTATCTAGGTGTGGAGCAGTTTCTAAAAGACATTGTTTTCAGAAACTTTATATCAAAAATGTTGGCATTTTAAAGAGGCTGCAGTTGAATCTGTTACAGGAGTTTCACAGTGGCACATCCCTAAAATGCTATCTTTCTTAAACCATGTTGAACTCTGATTAGGAAAACAATGTCTCCATTTCCTCACAACGCAGCCAGAAGCGGCTCCTAGTGACTGAAGCTTGAGGCACACACAGTGCTGTAGAAAAAGAACATTATTGATGTTAACAGACACTCTAGGGGCCAAGCCTAGCTTCTCTTCCTAGGCAACTGTGTGATTTTCAAAACTTCCCCGGCCATTCTGACCTTCTGTCTCTCCATGTATCTGGAGTCTTAGTAAACGGCCTTGCAGATTCCTGAAGAATAAATGGTGAGATGCATACCAAATGCAGTACTATTCTGTGTCATAGAAGGCACATATTCAGAAGCTGAACAAATATTAACTTGCTTTCCTTTTAAAACTGATTTTGTGTGTATGTGACAGTGTGAGTGTGCACAGATGCTATGGCATGCATGTGCAGGTCAGGGAATAGATCTCCTTCCACCCTGTGGAGTCCAGTGAAGCAAACTCAAGTTGTCAGGCTTGCTAGTGGGTGCATTAACCCACAGAGCCATCTTACTAGCCTTTGCTTCCATTTAAGCACTCTGTATTTTGAAGTTAGAGGAAATAGGGCCTTTCTGACTAAGAGATCTTCTGGTTGGCTGGAGGAAATGAGGTGGACGATTAGTTCCCACTCCTGAATTGAGTGTAATATCCTTTGTGATGCTTTGCACTTCACAGAACGCTGTGCAGCATCTTAGACTCCACAGTACATCGGACACCACAGTATCATTACCCCTGCTTTAGAGATGACAAATATGTCCTGCCCTTACTTTAATTCAGATTTCTTTTCCTTATAAGCCTCTCCCCCATGACCTCCTCATTACTTCTGTGAGATATGACCTGATAGATTCATTTTCAAAATTTCAGTTTTCCACAGTCTAGTTGTATAATTATGTTGTCAAGAGGCAGCTGGTCATATATTATGTCTAAGGTCTTGGATATGGATGAATCTGGGATTAAACATTACAGCCCTGTTTCTTATTTCTGTATGGCCTTCAGTAGACCTCTTAACTTTTTTTCAGGCTTTTTGTCAGTAGGGTAATGCTTATCTCATATAATATATGCAAATATGAAATAAATATGCATAAGATACAACACATGTCTCTGTCATTTGTTTTGAAAGAAAAATGTATTTAGGCATTCAATTTATAAAATAAAATTTCAAATTTCAGCAGAGAGTGGAAAACTATTTACTTGGCATAGTTAGCCATCTCTCTCTATCTGTCTCTGTGTGAACATACATCTTTCATCCATCTATCTTATGTAACAGCTTAGGTACACCACAGAAAATGCTAATTTATTGCACTGATGAGCAGAATCTCAAAAAGCACTTGAAGTCTGTCTTTCGATCTGGTGTTTCTTTAATGATGTGAAGAGTGGGTGCAAATGTGCCATTGCTCAATGTAAGTTTCTTTTGTGGGAGGTTTTTTAAAAAAGCTATGAATCCTTAGCAGTTCATGATTGCATCTGCAAAGAGCATGCCTCGATTCTCTCACCTTCAGTTCCTCAGTTTCTATGAAGCCACTGTGGTCAGTGTCATACTTTCTCCAAGTCTGCAAGAAATTTGGAGACAGAAAACCAGATTCAAATAAATAAACCAAAAGAACCCACCAACTAACTTACTTTTACCTTTCTTACAGGATGGATGAGTTTTACCTTCATGAATTCCTCACAGGACTTCAGTTGCTGGCATCGGAAAAGCAGAAGAAAATTCTCTTCTGTGGGTAAGACATGAGCCAACTGGAAAAGATGGAAAAGCAGAGATGAGGAGCCTGAAAAGGAGCCAGGCCATCACCTGCTGCTTCAGTTTTGCCTCAACATGCTCTGTGAGCAGTGGCATTGGCTGAGAAAGTGGGAGCAGATAAGCATCAACTGACTAATAGAATAGGAGAAGATATAGTTCTCTTTCCCTTTCTGATGCTTTGCTTCTGCAAAATGCTGAGGCACTTTCTAATACCTATACCTGAGGATCTGGCTTCCCAGTTGAAGACATGACTGTAGTGGACCACTTTTCACGTGCTGCACATACGTGCACCTACATGCTGCATAAGATCCATGCCACCCTTCAGGTCTTGGCTCTTTCAGCATGTACAGGATGTCATACACTATGTATGACTCTAAATTTCATGTGAAATGAGAAATTGTGAGGAACATGCATACAGGTGGAAGGAAGGAAGAAAAAATATACGTGGCTAGTTCTGGAGAGAAACACAATGGAGATTAACCAAAGACAACTGCAAAACATTAGAAAGAGGTAGAAAAACACATTGCCACAAACAGGGTGACTTCGACAGTAATAGGGACACTCTTAAATTGTGATCTCCTCTCAGGGAACATGTAGCTGCTTAAATCCTTGAATCCAGGGCTCAGATAAATTTTTTTTCTTCCTTGCGTGACTCCGTGACATTTCACCTTAGATCTCCTTCTGTAACTTCAACACCTCTCCCTCCCTTTATTTCCCCATCTCTTTCTCTTTCCTTGCCTCCCTCCTCTGCCCCCTCTTTTGAGGAATAAAGAGCCACAGATCCCATTTTAAGACTAATGTAATCTATTGCATGTGGAGAAGGAGGAGCGGGATTGATGGCTCTACTGCTGATGTGACTACTATTTCTGGCTCTGCTGCTAATGAGCTGTGGTACCCAGCAACTTCCCCAGCTGTACTGGCCCTCAGTATCTTCATCACTAGGAAAAGGAAATGAAGGAGAATGAATGTCCCCAGCTCAAAATGTGTGCTGTTGGAATTACTGACTCTTCACCATTAAGGAATGAATCTTCATATGCAACATTTGACTAATTTTCAGCAGTATCTCAATTCCCTGAAGTATAGACCTAAACCTTCATCCTTGGTTCATACACTTTAAACCTGTCTAGACCAGAGCTACTTAAATTTCTCCCAGTTATCACCTCATTTCTCCCGAGAAAATTTTATGTGACCCCAGGCATATATAATATAGACATAAAAAACAAAAACAAAAAATATTTAGTGATAATAAACCATAACAATTTAGTTTAAAATAATTCTTTTATATAATTTTACCATTTATTAAAGATGAACTCGTTTTTTTTTAATAAAAACAAAGATTAAATCTTGGCTGGATGCTTGATACTGCAGGATGCAGAACATCTTCAATCTTTCAGAATTGATCTATCTGTGACAATTCCATGAAGTACAGTAAAATTGTCACTGCTCTGAACAATATTTCACATAAGTGCATAATATAAAATGGCAGTGCCATGTTTTTACACCATTATAGAAAATGTTGAAAATTCTGTCCTAATCACAAACTAAAATTAATTTAACAAATTTTTGTGAAATTCAATTTGACATATCTAACAGAAAAAGTTAAAAATCAAGTATTGTAACACAATGCAAAGATATAATAATTTGTTGCATGCAATGGAATGACAGTAGGAAAATATTAGAAGACTCTGTTTTCCATAATTAAAGTATCATGCCTCTCTAAGAGCAGAAAAGTTCATATGTACAGTAAAAGAGACTGCAATTCACAGCATATACCAGTCCTAGCTGGGGTGTTTTTGGTAGTGCTTGTTGGTGTTGCATGGTGTGACAAATGTTCAGTGCCAGATGAACATGTGTGTTGAGCACCAAGGTCACAGTGAAGTTGTGCAAGGTGAGTGCTGCCAGGAACACCTTGGGTTCACTACACTTTCAAGTTTGAATTAATTTTTGTTTCTTTGTGTGCTCAGAAGCCTTCTACTGTGATCATATTGTTTGTGACCATATTTAGGTCACTATCCTCAATTTAAGAAGCTGGAGATGGAATTAACATTAAGGTCAAAAGATGTCCCAAACAGTCATATAAATCATTGGAAAGATCATCACACGTACTTAAAATTTTTCCAATCTTTTAAGCCCATCAAAGTTTGAAGGTTAATGTAAGCCATCATTGGGTTGCTTGTACCCTATGTGCAAGCAACATCATCTTTCCTTATAGCTGTGTAATATGTTCTTTAAAGCATCTTGCTTTTAGATCTTTGAAAAAATACCTCAAATTATAACAGTTATGTTCATAGTCTTTATGTATGGGGTTAGATTAAAGTAAAAGACAAAATAAATAAACCTTGCTAGAATATTTAGTATGATTCAGTTAGAAAACATCTTGGGTAGATTATATTGAATCTAAACTTGAAAACAGGGCTTTTGGAATTTTAGAAATTAAATGAGGTTTTGGTCTATAAATATACTTATATCACTGTAGTGTGAGATAATGTATATACTTCAGGTATCTTAGTACTACATTCAAGTATTGTCTGTATACTTACTTTCTTTACCCATAAAATTCTGCCCCACAGAAATAAGACAGGTGAATGTAATTCTAAGCACAAACTTTTGAGTTGAGGATGCTAAGATATAGATTGAGTCATCTGCTCTGGTGACTTGCAGACTCTGAAACTCAGTTAAAATTGATGAATATTAATAACAAGTCTGCACCCTATGCTCCTTGATTGTAGTAGTAGGATGAATTGGTTGTTCCTTTCCTCTTGGAATGCAAACATAGCATTTGTTGGTGATTGCTACCAGTGGTTAGGAGAAGCCATGCTTCATTTTACTCATTGAAATCTAGAATTCATCTTCCTTGTGAGTTTTTCTTTCCTTTGCATCTGTATGTGGGCCCCTTGTAGAAAGTTGATATAAATGATTTTCATTATTAAAGAATCATACGTTAGGCCCAGAGAGCAGATCTCTAATGAAGCTAAGGGTGAATAGGAGAAAGGGAGAACTGGACACAGAGATGGTCATCAGAGAGAGGAGAAACAGCCATGCCCCTAAAACCCAGTGTAGAAGACTGAAGACATTTTAGAGAATGTTTCTTTCAGGACTTCAAGAGATGTGAAGAAGGAGGAAAGCTTTATCCAGGAAAGGGGTGAGAACAAAGAAGTAACAAAATAGAAATTCTAGGTTTTAGAGAATGTGGAAACATGTCAGTGATGAGACAAGTTGACCAATAGAAGTTGATGGTAATGGTATATGTTGGAAGATTTTGTGTGATTCTCAAAGTCTATTCGTTTCATGTCACAGCTGTGATTAACAAAAGCACCCGTTTAGGACTGGAATAGCCAATCTCAACTCTTCCTTAGCTTATTGGTGTGCTTTAATGCTTGGAGTGAAATCTCCCCCAGGCCATTTCAGGAGCTCAGAGAATTCCTTGTCTGCACCATGTGCCCATCTAGAGTCAACTCAGCATGTCAGGTGCCTAGAACACATGTTTGTGATTTCTTGATGAAAATTAGAAATACTTCACCGACATGATAGAGTCAACAACCCTTACTAATATCATTTTCTGAATTTTATGAAATATCTGTTGCCTTAAACTAAGAAATAATGACTTCTTTTAAAAAGTATACTTCTGAAAAATCCACCTACTATTTACAAATAGAAAAAGAAAAGGAATATACTACTAAGTAATGATTATATGTAAGATTAGGGAAATTTACCCACCTTTGTTCTGTAAAGTTTATGTAACTCACATACAGATCAGAGATTTCTAGGGTGTTAAATATAAATAGAGTCATACTCTCCTCCTTTTTGTTTTGTTTTGGTTTTTTTCAAGACAAGGTTTCTCTGTGTAGCTCAGGCTGTCCTAGAATTCACTGTGTAGACCAAGCTAGCCTCAACTCAGAGATCTACTTGCCTCTGTCTCCTGAGTACTGGAATTAAAGAAGTGTACCACCATGCTCACAGTTCTTTATGGATGATACAGATGCATATTTCTTTGTGCATGCTGTTTTGTTACTAATTATAAAAATATTGATTGTATCTATATATAAAATGTTCTTTATAAATCTTATTAAACTGTTAATTTTATACTCATTATAGCACTATCTTATTTAAAAACAAATGAATTTTACATGCATAAAATATCATTGAAAGACAAAAATAGCCATTTAAAAAGCAATGCATATGTATTGATGATATGTCTCCGAAGTGAATAGAATGACTTCCTTTTCTAGGTGAATTATACAATGTGGTGGTTCTAGGTTGTCTGTTGGTCCTTTTGTCAATGCATAGGAATAATTATTCAAATCATTACTCAGATCATAGTTCAAATCATTATTCACATGAATGTGGAGATTCTCTATCTGTAGCAATTAAGACAAGGGCTAGAATGTGCCAAAGGTCTTTGGCTTTATTCTTAGATTTGCTAAGTCACTGATTTTCACAGAAGTTCCCAGTTCTGGTTTCAAGATCGTTGGTGACCTTTTTAGTCACTGTGTCACCTGTTTTCCCTTTCTTGAACTCCCCAATGTTTAATGCTGGAAAAGTAGAGTGAAAAAACCATATGTGTCAGTTGGAAGGAAGGAGGTAGACAAGGGGAAGGGTAGTTATTTAAAAATTAATATTGGATTTCTTCTAGGTCCGTCCCTTTGAAAATGTCAGGCTATTACTTTGAAAAGAAATTTTAAAAATAAAATAAAAATTACTGGCTCTCAAAGAAAGAAAAAGTGGACTGAATTAAGGGAGTGAATGGAAGGCAAGATAGATAGCTATGGGTACAGACAGAATTCCATAGGTCTTTATTTATGGAATTGGTTGCTTGGCATTGAAAATGGAGAAGAAACATCTTTCTACACGTCTGTGTCCTTGAGGATACCATTAACATTTTGCTACTATTTCCTTGCCTAGCAACCGGCATCAATAAATATTTTACTGATGCAATGAATGGTGGTAACTGTATCTGGAGTCAGCTGCAATCACATACAAGTAAAGCTCCTTTGGACATAATTCAGTTTATTACTGGGCTATGGATAGGGGCTCTTGTAGATATTGGGCAATCCTACCCAGATCTGTTTCTGGGGCCAGGAGTATTGCTGTGCAGGCAGTTTCCCCTTTGAGGAATTGTCTGGGCTGAAGATGCCTGTCTGTCCAAAGAGACTGTGTCTCATGATTAATCCACATAGGACCCTAAAAACCTCACAGTCTTAGTCAAAACTTGGGAAATCTCTGAAGGGGCACACCCACTTCAGAGATCATTACAGAGATAGTCTCAAATAAAACTTGGTGGGGGCCAGCATCCCTCAGGGTCCAGGCCCTCTGTCTTTACTCTCCTTCAGGAAGTGATGCCCAAGTACTTACTTCCTAATGAAATTGAGGTCTGCTTCCAGGGAACTCAACTATAAAGGATTTTCCCATGCATTTTTTTCTATTTCCTTTCCTTCCCTAGGATAATAGAGAGCCTCTGCCTTATGCTTTTGAAAGGGTTGTGTTAGATAGGATGACTGGGCAGTCTATGGGAACTCTAGTAATGATTCAGTATTTATCACTAGTATAGCAATGGACTTTGGGAGCCCATCCAACAAAGAGGGATACTTTCTCAGCCTAGACACATGGGGGAGGGCCTAGGCCCTGTCTCAAAGGATATGACAGACTTTGAAGACTCTCCATGGAGAGCCTCACTCTCCCTGGGGAGCAGAAAGGGGATGGGCTGGGATTTGGTGGGAGTGGTAGGGGGAGGGTGGGAGTGTAAAGGAACTGGGATTAACAAGTAAATCACCCTTGTTTCAAATTTAAATTAAGAGAGAAAGAGAGAGAGAGAGAAAGAAAAAGAAAGGGTTGAAATCCTGGCCATGCTTTATCGACTATTGAATTCTAGGCCACTGTGTTTATTGCTGGTACCTAGTAAGACTCTTACAGGAAGATGGATGATTTCAACAAACTTTTCCCTTAACAATATCTAAGCAAAGGATAGAAACAAAAATAAAGCAAAATGCTACATGTCAGATTACCAATGGAGGGTGACTTGATGGAAAGAGAAATAACTAAAACAGACATGCCAACATGCACAGGAGCAGAATTCATCACATTTAAAGGCAACTATGTGACACATCACACTTCCTGAGCACATTAGACAAGGATTTGTCTTTATATTTGGAAACCAAAGAAATATTTTACATCCCCCCCCCCCCGCCAATGAGAAGTGAATCCAGGGAATCTGGAGGGTAAATAGTCATGAACTTAAAAGTATTTTATTTAATAACTTGAATTTAATAAATTATGTAAGAAGAAGAAAAGTTTTTGGCATTTAGAACAATAGAGTAGGGTTTTCAGTAACTCATTTCTGTATTTAGTAAAATTGTCAAACAAGTGTAGTAGGTTTATGCAGTGGTTTGTTTGTTTGACATGAATTATTTCATTAGATGGTAATGCTCATAACAGTCATACTAAGTTAGAACATAGTCATGTTTCTTCATAGTCGAGGAAACATATGTTCTAAGACTATTTTTATGTAACTTGTAGTTTGAGGCAGTTTTGAAGTCAGATGATCTAACAGTTTTGATTTTGAGACATCGATCCCTTACCATCAGCATCCTTTACTTAAAATAGTGTTTCTAATAACTCATTTAAAAAGTCTATCCAGAACAAAATTTCAAATCCTATTTTACCATTAATCACTTTCCCCAATTCTAAAGTAGATAAGTATTCTGCCAAAAATAATAACCTTCCCTTAAGCTAAGTGTATACACTTAAAGTTCACTATGGAACAAACAGAGGAGGAAATGGCCAGAGAATTGTCTGCTTCCCTTCGATGGTTGTTACAGTTTTTTAGGTTCAAATAGCTTTTAGATCTATTTTTTTTTCTGTACATGCATTGACCTGGACAGATAGAACACTAAGTCTAGAGAGGTTGGTAGGCTGATATACATTGCCCAAGGGAGCAGAGAGAAAGCTTCAGGATTTGACTTTTAGCAAAAGGAGGCATCTGTGTGTACTTCACATGAGACCCAGAGAAAGGAATTCCATGACCTACTAAATCATTTAGTCTTCCTTCTTAATTATTTTATGGACCTTCTTTACAACAGAACTATATTAGTCTGAATAAATTTAGAACATTTCTGACTGTCATGGTATTTATTAAGTTATTTCAGATTTTCAATGATCCTATGTTGAATTTGTATTAACAATCTTGTTATAACTGAACTGTCTTCATGTGAATTTTAAAGTCTATTAATATTATTAAATTACCAAATTCAGAATATTAGACACATCAACATTTCTTTCCTTTGAATAAATTTAGGTAAAAATTCATGCTATGGAAATTGTCAGTTTACTGGATCAGGTCAGAACACTGAAAATTAAGTACTGAGTTTTCCTTTCTTTTAATTCAGTTGGGTGGTCCCCACAGGGAAGGAGATTACTGCATGCATATTAGTTTCCTTTGATTAGATTTCAGTGAGTCCTAGAGTCTAACTATTAAGTGAGCATAGCACACAAGCCAATTCAACCCCTTTCTGTTTTGAACACTAATGTATAGTGTACTTGCTAAGAGGAAGGAGACTGTAATACATTTGGAAAACATGGGGTTTTGTATTCTGTTATAGCTAGCTAGGCTTTTATATTGGAGTGCCATATTACAGGCAGGATGTCTAAGCAAGTAATATCACATATCAAATTTACACGGATGAACTGCATTTAGTCCAATTTCTGGGTGACATTAGAAGGGACTGTGAGTTTCCACATTCCCCACTATCTCCCTGTTTTCTGTAACATTTTGCTTCTTTTCCTTAGGAATGCATCAAGATTGATATTTTCTTATCTGTTACTTATCTGCCCTGGACATTCATTATAGCCACTCCTTCCACTTTTAAAAATTCTTTTCTCTTTAGAGAATCTAATTCAGCTGCCTCCTCCAAAATCTTGGCTAATAACTGTTATGAGGACTCACAACTGTACAATGTACCATGCACAGTGTCTTTAAGATATGCTGTTTGGGAAGTTTGCTATTCTCTCTCACTTTTTATCCATCTTCTTTTACTTACATTTTGCTTTATGCATATAAAACCCCTTCCTTCCTAATAGTTCTTTCTCAAACTTGTGGATACCATGTTTCACCTAATCTTAAGACAATGCATCTGCCCAGTACAGGCTTCTCATGAACATAAAAATTAAAATGTTACGTCTGAAATGGTTAGACTCTATCCAGGTTATCCATCCATTTTTACCTATTAAAAAACTTAACACTTTGTGAATAAGCTCCATGCTTTTACTAAGTAACTTTGTAACACCAAATAAGTGACTTATGATAAATAACCAGGTCCACTGGAGGGCTTTAAGGTAAAATTGCTAAATACAAGATGGTGATCTTTTTTTCAACTAGAATTATAAAGTATTCCAAACTGTGATATTAGATTTTCAAAATACTTTTGTGTAATTATTTATCTTCTTTCACTTACATTCATAAGCATAATTTTATTATTTTTGTCTTGACTAGTCTGCCTCTATATCAACTGTAAGTTCAATAACTATTATCTATTTATATAGTAATGAGTTGTACACAGGTAAAGGGGGAAGTGTAAGCTCAAGGGAGAAATTTTAATTACGAAGATAATAATAGTATGTTCTCCCTTCACTCTGTCTGTAGTAGGTTCTTCAAAATATATATATTTCATACTGGCACCATAAGATCAATTATTTGAAAACCAGACTAAGTCTCTGAATCAAAAGTGAATTATAATAAATATTTTGAAGGCCAAGCAACTCACAATTGAAAGGGCAAAGAATGTTTTATGGACATAATTGTGATTATGATATTTTATATTTCAAAATATGATTTTATTTATTTTTCTAGATAAATATTTATACCAAGTTTTTAAAAAAGGTGGCAGAGCTAAACACAACTGAGATATCACCAGTAAAAATAAAGGAAGCAGCAACTATTTTGTGAACTTAGAATTTGATGGATAAATAATTTATTTCTATTCCTTAATTTATAGGCATAATAAGATGTTCTTAAGGGGAAAAGTTATCGTCAAAAGGCAAGATTTCACATTCACTTTTTATCTTCTAGAAATTCAAATGAGTATAGGTATAGGTATACCAGACTGTGGAGGGTTTATCCATTGTAGAAAAGTTCTTGGGCTTTTGATAAAGCTATCTGTCAATCTGAAATGGAATTTCAGAAACCATGATGCAGCCTTTGTCTATGATGTCTTTACAGGGCTGTAAACATTTGGTTTTAAAATATCCTAGAAGATTTTACACTGAAAAATGTTAACAAATTAATCGTGTACTGGGCCTGTGTACTGAGGACAGTGTGGGTGAGCAGTGCAGAGCATGGTCACCCAGAAGATGGGATTTGCTTGTTACATTGGTGTTAGGGACACGAGTGTAAGAGATACTTAACATTTCACTTCTCAGCCTGTCTTATAATGCTTTTACTTTAGGACTGAGGCTACATTAAACTCTTTACTCTCTTTTCAAGTTTGTTCCATTAATTTAATTTGATGTGTTGAAACAGAAGATGCTATATTGACTCTGAATGCCTCTATGAATAAGTTATGTTTGACTTAAGATCAAAGTTGATGCTTGTTCATTTAATCAGACAAACACATAGGTTACTTACCTCTACAATTCCTATTTTCCCATCATCTCTCTGCCCATACTGATCCACAAAGGTTTTCATCTCAGGTGATAACTCCTAAAATTATATAAAAAAAATTAGGTAAGATGTTCGTGAAAACAGTTTTTGTAGTGATGTTAATAAATTACTGCAAATAAAAATGAAAATTGAGATAGAATAGCTTTTAGGACACTTTACAATGGTTGCTTTGTGGAAGATTACTTTATTTTGCTGCAAGTCGTGTCTTGTAACATCTCCTTATTTTAACATAATATCTTGCGTATGGGACAATTTGGCTTGGACAAGCAGAATGTGGTATATGTGGAAGGGTAGCCAGTTTGCAGGCAATGGGTCTTTCTGGCTTGAAATAGGAGCATGCTCATTAGAACATTAAATGGGATAAGAGCGTGAGAGGAGAAAATGACAAATTTGTGTTTCACTAGGAACTGACAATACTGAAGACTACATTTCTGGACACAAATTAAATGTGTCTGATCTTTATCTCTCCCAGGACCATAGGGAAAATTTTTCTAAGCTGCCCTTGTTTCCACTTTCCTCAAGATATTTCCCCCACATATTTTGTATAATAAACAGTGCTTTGGAATGATACATGCTATCTGGTCATTTGACATTCTCCATCTCCAATATGCTTATTCCTTTTTATAATCTCTTTACATATTGGCATATTAGAAAGTTATGAACTGTAAGCTATTTTAGTTTTTAACACTTGTGTCTCAAGCAAAGCCCAGTTAAAATACCTCTGCGACATGAACTGGTCTATTTAAACTAGGTCAGTTGTTACTAATACCTTGTTCCATCTCCTTGGGAAAGCAAATTAAGGTTTTGATTTTTCACCATAATGAACAAGATGGCAGTACCAATCACACAAGTTGACTTAGATAGCTGGTCTAATATAACCTAAGGGTCAAACTGAAGCTTGAAAGCATTCATGCCAGCATTTACCCTTTAGAAATCATTATAAATATGTAGTAGAACTAAGGTAGCAAGAAATAATAAATTAATTTAAGTACATTATTGCCTAAAAAAACCTGTCTACTATGGGTAAGTTTTAATTTGGCTTATTAAATTTTGTTACAGAAGCAACTATAAGAAAATGAAAGTGCCTAGCTCAATAGTGTCAAGCATGAGGATTTCAGGCTCAGATTTTTCACAGGTATCTTCAAGTGAACAAAAACAAAGTCTTCATTATTAAATATTGAAATTACATAATATTACTAGTTCAAGAAACACACTTGATATTTAGCTTGGGAAGTTTCTGGGTAGCAACTGGGTTGTAATATATGTTTTGAATAGTGAGGAGCATGTATAATTGGCATCATCAATTGAAGACTTGTAAGGATGAGCATACGTGTAATGATGAAGCATATTTAATGCAGAAGAACAGTGGTTTCAGAAATGGTACATTTGGTGAAACGTGAAACCTCACATTATTATGATGAGTCAAAATAAATGTTTCTCTCTGTCCTTCTATTCCAGGAAAAGGGAAAAAGTCTGTTTTTTTCAGATCAGCATGCATAAAGAAGTACATAAAAGTAGGTTTATAGCAGTAGACCACTCGTATAAATGAAATGTTCCCAATATATATGAATTTTAATCTAGAGCTTAAATTTTTAGCTATCTAACCAAAGCTTATTACATAATCCATAATAGTACTTAGGTTCCAAGCAACTTGATATGACCATATATATGTGTGAAATATGAGTTTTTAAAATTATAATCTAATTACAGTTGTCGACCAAAAATAAGTTCTAGGCAGCAGAAAAAATAAATAAGCTTTAAATTCTATAACTCCTACCTGAACTCTGTTTTGTTTTTTGATTTTTATATTTTAATTATATGTATATTTTACAAGAAGTAAAAGTGTTAAAATGAGGAGAAAAAATCTATGAAAAAAAAACAGAGCTCATGTATTTATAGGATGGAAGCAAATCTCAACATTAAAGTTACTTCTGGAAAATTAAAATATGTTCATTTAGCTGTTAGAAGCACCATCCAAGTTGTAAATTACAGTTCCTCTGAAAAATAAGACTTTACATATATATTGATATATTTTAATTGAGGAAGAATATTACTTTAGCATTATCAGCTAAAGAACCATAGAACTAACTATAGTGATAGTATTACATGGTAATACTATGTAATGTATGGTAGTGCACACGGTGGAAATAGGGCAAAGTGCATAGAACTCATTATTATTTGATCTTATTCTACACTTTTAGATTACACTGTATTAAATCCAAGTAAAAGTATCTGAAGAGCATGATCTAGTTTAAAGTCAGGCTGATATGATGTTAGCAACTTCATAGTCTGCTTATAATACATTAAAATACATTTACAGCCCTGTGGGGTTCCTTCTAATATGTTGTAGAGGGATACCTACCACACAAATTTCATCATAGACACAACAACAAAAACAACAACAACAAAAGTCTTAGTATATTACACCCCTTGCCCCCAGAGCACTAGAAATGTTGGCATGCTGTGTGATGTTTAGGGATGATATGGATATCGTCTTTAGTGTAAAAATGTCTTTGTAATTGTCATCTAAAAGATCAAAGACCATTAGCATTTAACTACTCCAAATCCAACATTGCTTTCTGAGAGGGAGTCTTACATAAATGCCAACAGACCTGCAGGTTTTTCCTTTATGCAAACATCTCACTTGCTTAAAAGCTGGCCGGATACATTTTATTTTTATGTTAACATCATCCTTTCCCAACAAATACATTTGGCCCAAAGGAATTAATTTATAATCACTAACTATCAGTTGTTTAACCAATGGCTTAATTTAAAACCACAGCTTATTTTAAAATCATCACTAATAGTTTCTCATCAGCATTTTTTTTTTTTCTTTTTACAATACATGAAATTCTTAAAATGCTTTGTTTTATTGCTTTCTTAAGTTTGGGGTTTCTCTCCAACAAAAAATGAAAAATGTTTCCTGCCACATTCTCACTCACACTTTTGTTACACTTCTGTTGGTTATCTTTTTTCAGGGATAAGGGTGAAGGCAAGCTGTTTTCTCAACCTCCACCTACTAGCTACATCAACATCGCAGCAATAATTGGCACTAGAATCTGCAAATCTGCTTCTGGCCACCAAGGGGCAGAAACGTATTTCTACCCCTAACTTAGCATCTAGAAAAGAGAAGTCAGAAAATCACTTAACCAACTGATAAAGGGTTTCTCACATCAATGCTTCATCTTAAGACCTATTAAGGAAAGGACGAGTATAGACTATATATGCCAGATTTAAGACAATAGTTTTTTTTTTTTTTTTCCTGTAGATTACCCGCCTCCCCGTCCCCGCTTTTGGAAAGGTGTTCTTTCTCGCCTTTCTCAGTAAATCTTTATTTTCATTTTCGCCCTCGAAACCACTTTCATGAAACAAAAAAAGGTATGTTTTAAGGTTGAAGGGTCCTTCAAAAACCCAAGCCTACCAATCCAGCCTTCTTTCGCGCCTGCAGGAGCTCCTGGATCAAGTTCTGCAGCTCCTTTCCTTCCAGGTAACCACTTCCTGCAAAGAGAAAGAGGCACCCAGGTGTCAGATGTCTCTTTCTAAGTTTCTTCTTGGTTCTTTTCAGGACAGCTGTAGCCTGAGCACTGATTAATCAGCAGTGGGTTCAGCCGCTGCACAGCTTCCCTTCCGAGGTGTCAAACTTCAAAGGCACCGAGGGCAAAGGAGGAGAGTGGGGATGCGGGGCACAGTCTTTGAAACTTTTGGGGGACAGGGCTTCCCAATTTTTGCTCTCTGTTCTACCACTGCTGTTCCTAGAAAAGTGAACACTTATAGCGTGGGGGTGCCATACAAGCTATGTAAACTTCCAGGCTGACGGGGTCGGCAGCCCGGGGTGGGGGGGGGAGTGAGATAGAATTAGGCAGGGTGATGGGAGAAGAAAAGGATGGTTGAGATGAAGAGGGTCAGTGGAGGGAAAGGGTAAAGAAGGAATGGGGATGGATCTTGAAAGGGTTAAAAAGAAAATATTCACCATCAGCGTCGAAATGAAGCCAGATCTCGAAAAACTGTGAGGCTGTGATCAGGGATGACTGCAGGTGGGATTCTGCCATGGTGCAGCAGGGAATAGCAGAGTGATGAACGCGAACCTCAGAGCGAGAGGGCTGAGCAGGTTGAGCTGGGCGCTGCGCGGCAGGCGCTGTCCGCGGTGCTGCTCCGTTCGGGTGTCCTCTGGAGTTCTCTGCACCCCGCACCCAGATCTCAGTATTTATCCCGCCGGCCCCAGGCCGGGCCACGCCTCCTCCTGCCTCCCTTTCCTAGCTCCCGCCTCTTGCTCTCCCACCCCTTCTTCCCCTCCCCTTCAGATTTCTCTTCCCTGGAAATAGCTGGAGCTGGAGTTTTGGAGTCTAGGAAGCAGCAGGTGGTGGGGATACCTTGCATAGATGCTTTTCCCCTCACAGTCCCCTGGTCCAAGGAGACTGTTAGCTCCATTTACCTGGAAATGGTTTGATTTTCATATGGAAAGGAAAGCTGATAGAGGGTAAACCACATAGGTGGTGATTATGTCTGCTTATTATTTGTCCAGGCAGTCCAGTATTTGTATGAACAACATTAGACTGCGAGGTATTACTTTGATTAATGTACACAATGGGTTGGATAACCTCAGCAATGTTTCATCTTGTGTTAACAGAGACTGCCAGGTGGCTGTTTAAGATGTCAGCTGTCCTTGCAGACTGGAGAATGCAGGATTATGCTGGCTTTGTTGCTTTTTAAAGCTTACAGTAGAATTACTGGAATGCAAAAAAAAAAATTAATGTATAAACATTTAAGATGTTAGGAAGAAAGCGATTTTAGCAATACCATAGCTATGCCACACTGAATCTTACAAAATACAAACTGAAGGAAATGGAACAAATGGTCACCAGTTAAACCAGTGATTCAGAAATAGCCCCATTCACTGACTTTACTATCTACACCTCTCCTATATCTGGGTGTGGAATTTTCAGAAACTGGAAATCACTATAGGTGGAGAAAACTACTCAGTTACATGTTACACTGATGTAACAAATTATGTGCTTGGGTTATCATTGGCATTAGTATTTATAGGATGTTTAGCTGTCAATCTTTTGAGACCTTATTGTTTGCTGAAAAATGTTTCCTAAGTGTCTGGTTACAATAACAGACAAGCAAAGAAATGTATAAACTTTCAAAACAAACTTACAAAGCTGCACATTTTCGCCTGTGTAATCAAATATGTAATGTCTGTTCCTGAGACTGTGAATCTCTCCAGGAGTGGAATTGTGAGACTTTATGAAATTATTCAAAACCATCATTTCAAGACTGGGAGTATTTCATTTGTCTTCTCCATACAGGTCTTGTGGTCATAACACTCTATAGTTCCTATGAACATTATTTACCACTTGACCAGATTCTCACATGAATCTCAGGCTTATACAAGAGGCAAGCTAATCTCTAAGAGGCTAATAACTTTATATTCTTTTATTCAAGAGTGTTATTTGCATGCCCAATTGCTTATGCTTTCATTTACTCAATGAACACTTATTAACTCATTTTACATCAAACACTCTGCTAGATTCTGGAAGTAATGAAATAAAATTATTGAGGATTACTCTTACGGTGATATGGTCACATAAACAAATGTGATAGGGCATTTTGGTACAATGCATATAAGTTACTTTTGTGTATAAATCTAATTTCTGGGGAAAACTGAAGCTTAGCTTACCCAAGTCACATCTACATACCGAAAATCCTGTTCTGAGGCAGACACTTTTGTGTCTAAGGAGAAACAATCATGTGAATGAAATGCCAAGAGCTTGGATGAGTTTATTTTACTTCCTAGAAAATTAATTATTGAAATGGTTCTATTTGTATTTATAATTGTGGACAAGAGTTTTGTATGAAAAATATGCTTTGTGAACAGGTTAATGTGGATGATAAACTGAAGATCACAGAGAAATCACAGTGTTTGTGGAATGACTTGAAGACTCATGTGACCCTTCCTTATTATGAGAGAGATGATAATGTCTAGATTTTGGATAAGTTTTAAAACAAAGAGAAATGTCACAAGTTAACTAACTAAACAAATGGCCTGGACAAACAAATGAAAGAACAGTGTTTGTATTATTTTCATAATTATAATGAATACTTTACCCCCCCAAACAAAACTAAATCCTCACATGTTGTAGTATAAATTCATTTAAAATTTAAAATATTTAAATTAAAAAATAATTTTATCTTAAATTCTAAGTAATAAAAGACAGTTTTAGGAATTTAAAATATTATGTAAGAATCACTTTTGTGAACTCATGAAAACATTTTTTTTTTTTTTTTTTTTTTTTTTTTTTGCTTGTCAGTCACTAGGAGACTTCAGAATTTCCATGCTGGAATGCTTACTTGCTGAGGCTTGCTGAGAAGTGGGTGGTAAAGAAATACAGAATTTGCTTGCAGTTGTATGATAAGTAAGTGCATTCTGTTTCTTCCATGCTGAGTTTTTTTTTGTACATTTTATAAACTAAGGAGATCTGAAGTCCCCTTTAACTTAGTTTTTAGTGCTGTCCTGAGGTAATCAGGGTTAAAAACTCCTTGCTTAGACAGACACATAAATATACACACATGTGGTTTTGGTTATTTGCTTTTACAGAACAAGGTCTATATTGTGTATATCATCCTGTGTTTAAATACTAATGAAAGGACACCCCCCCCCCAGTGTTATCACCAATGTCTAACATACTTTTAAAGAGTTGGCTAATATTTATTGATTCATCCTAATTGTAGACATTAAATCTCTTCTAGTGATCTGTGATAAACAGTTGAGACAAACATCTGTAGGCATTTATGTCAGATATACATGTTTTCTAGTTATAGAGGTACTATTGTTAGTTCAAAAGCATGCATAATTTAAAATTTAATTTTAAGGAACATTTCTAGGTTAGTTCTTCCAATTTGTATCAACTCAAACTCAAAGTAACAAGCATCATCTTTGAATGCTATTGTTTTCAATTCTTTAAATTTACATTTTGGTTTTCTAAGGTAATATTTTTTTTCTTTTTTGCATAAGAAATGTAATTTCATAAAACATCTTTTTTCTTTTGAAGTATTATTGGTCACAGACTGTCATCTCAAATCAGTATCTCTTTTTAGACATATTTTGGGGGCACTTCAAAATTAAATTCATCTTAAGGACTTTAAAGACTGTGTATTTTAGTTCTATAGAACTGAAGTGACTTAAGAACTATTTCTGCCTCCTGCCCCCTGAAATTTTCAGTTCCTTAACCAAGGCAGGGAGGTTTTTACTTTTCAAATGTTCAGGAACCTGTCACTTTCTAGGATTCTGGGAGAAGTACACACACTTTGAATAATGAGATTGTTCCATAAGATTAAACTTTCCAAAAGCATTTTGAAGTACTTTTATGACTTGCTTTATAGGCCTCATTACCCAGCATTAAGGTGAACGGGTTCACAATCCTACATGTCATAAAAGTAGAAAAAAATCTTCAGTACAATCAGAGTCTTTTGCATCTCATGTAACTGAATTACTGCTTCTCCATTCAGACTCAGGCCTCTATTGGCAAATGGTCTAACTATGCATGTGAGAGACCCAGAACCTCCCAGGTTGAATGAATGAATGCTTTATCAGCCTTCACTCAGAAAAGAAACCTCTCAAAATTATTTCACTATAGGTTCTAGTACACAAAATATTTGATCACATTCTCTTATGTACCTGTCCACACATAGGATTTTTTATAATTAAATTTATTTATTTATTTTACATCCCTACATCAGTTTCCCTTCGCTCCTATCCTTCTGTTCCTTCCCCTTGCCTCCTCCTACCATCCACTCCTGCTCTTTTATGTTCAGAAAGAGGCAGGCCTCTCATGGATATCAACAAAACATGGTAAATCAAGTTGTAGTAAAACTAAGCACCTCTCCTTGAGCAAGGTGACCCACTATGAGGAATAGGTTCCCAGAAGCCAGCCAAAGCATTAGGGACAGTCCCTGCTCCACAAGAAGACCAAGCTACACAACCATAACAGATATGCAGAGGGCCTAGGCCAGTCCTATGTAGGCTCCTTAGTTTTGGTTCAGACTCCGTGCTCCTATGAGTCCAGATTAGTTGGTTCTGTAGGTTTTCTTGTGATTTCGTTGACCCCTCTGGAAGGTACAATTCTTCCTTCCTCTCGTCAGCAGGACTCCCTGAGCTTGTCTTCATGTTTGGCTGTAGGTCTCTGCATCTGTTTCCATCAGTTGCTGGACGAAGCCTCTCTGATAATTAGTGTTCTCAATTATCTGTGAGGACAGAAGAATATTGTTAGGTATCACTACATTGACTTTTTTCCCCCTCTCCAATCATGTTTAGTTCTATCTTAGGTCTCTGGGCCATCCAGACAGTGTAAGGGGTGGGGCTCACTCTTGCGGCATGGATCTCAGGCTGGACCAGTCATAGGTTAGCCACTCCCACAGTCTGTGCCACCCTTAGTCCTGCACATCCCATAGATAGGACAGACTGTTAAATTAAATTAAAGGTTTATTTATTAAATTAAAGGTTAATTTATTAAAAATAAATTAATAAATTAAAGGTTATGTGGATGGTTAGTTTCCCAATATCTACACTGGAAGTTTTCCTTGGTCACAGGAGGTGATTAGTTCAGGTTATGTATGCACTATTGCTAGGCATCTTGACTGGGATCATCTTTGTATATTGCTGGCAGTTTCCCTTGCACCATGTTTCTACCTGACCCCGAAATGGCCCCCTTTCTAGTTATCTCTTTCAGTACTCTCTCCTTCTACTGGTCCCTACCTGATTCCTCATGTTCCCATCTCTCTCCACCTCCTCCCAGGACTACTTACAAAATATCTTCTATTTCCCTTTCTTAGGGAGATCTATGTATTCCCTCTTGAGTTCTCTTTGTTACCTAGCCTAACTGGGTTTGTGGATTATAGCATGGTTATCCTTTCCTTAACAGTTAATATCTACTTATGAGTGAGTACATATTAAGTTTGTCTTTCTGGATCTGATTCACCTCACTCAGTATGTTTTTTCCCCCTAGCTCCATCCATTTGCCTTCTAATTTCATGATGTCATTGTTTTTAAGAGCTGAGAAATACTCCATCATGTAAATGTACCACATTTTCTTTATCCATTCTCCAGTTGAGAGATATATAGGTTTTTCTTAGGTTCTGGCCATTACAAAGCTGCTATGAACATAGTTGAGCAAGTGTCCTCGTGGTATGATTGAGCATTCTTTGGGTAGTAGATCGATTCCCAATTTTCTGGGAAACC